TTGTATATGTCATTTTAATAAAAAAAAATTGGTTTTAAACATTCCCTGGTGAAAAAATAATTAAAAAAAATCATCCTGATGGATGTTACATTCACTTTCTTTTTCCTCACCTGTTTTCATTTTATTATATTTCTTTTCTTCCCATGCTCCTTGCAATCTACTTGTCTTCTCTTCCCTGCAATTTTTTCCTACACACAGACTATTCCTTTTACAATGCTGCTCTCAGGTAAACAGGCCCCTCTTATCTGCCAGGCTTCCTCTCCATGTTTTTTTAAGCTCCTGCTTTTCCACACATCTTTCATACTTCTGTCTCACTCTTTACACCTTATATCTTCTTTCCTGAAATATCTGTCTTGCCTGGAGCTTATTTTGTTGCCTTTGATTTTAAGCCATTAGAGACATCCAGTGTTTGCAGAGAGCCATGTCTGTATGTGGTTTCTAATAGCAATGGGGCATGTCTTGATGCTTTTTTTCAGGCGAAAGTCATACTACTTTAGCATTGTTGCTTTGCTTTTTTTGTTGTTGTTGAATAAGGCCTTCAAATTTTGGCCACAAAACATCAACAATAAGCCTCATAGATAATGAAATATTAGATATTAATATAATAGTATTCTAATTTACAAATTCTCTGCCTCTGTTCCCTTCCAGCTCCAGGTGAGCTGGTCTGCTGCCTCATTCTGTGCTGGGAATAGGGGAGCTGCTTTGCTCCATCTGATCTGACACCCTCCCAATTCAGTGTCCTACCCCTTATTCTGTCCAGACACACCTCCAAGAAGAAGATAACAGCCCTGTAGTCAGCAGATTTGGAACAGCCTTTCTTTCAGGGTACAGAGATTTCAGACAGTTGAGGAGATAGGAGATGAAAGGCTGTTTTGCATATTTAGCTCGTCAGTTGATACTTCCTGATAAGACAAAGGTGGAAGATAAAAATATAAAACTGATCACAAAACAATAAAATCAATGATGCCAAAGAAAGCATGGACTGACAGAAAGAGCGTGGGCTTCCAAAAGTGGATTTTTGTTGGCTTATGGAATGAATGGGTAGGTAGATATTTTGGAAGAAATTCATAAGGAAATGGGAGCATAGGAGAGCTGACAGTTACTGAAAGGAGTGTATTAAAAGCACAGCAGCAGACTACCCTGACACAGGAAGCATTGAAAGAGAGCAGCAAAGCTTCATCAGGAGCTATTTGGTTAAGTGAAAATCAAGAAGCAATGACACAAAGAAGCGAACACAAGAACTGATGACTAAAAATTAGTTTAAAAGAACAGTACGCTCACAGGGGGAACAAATCATGAAGGCTAAGAGGCAGAATGAGGTAATCTAGGAAAGGAACTAAAAGCCAATAAAAGGTTACACACACACACATATACAAAGTAATGCAGACAAAGTAAGGTTCAAAACCAGTATCTAACTGAAAGACGGGAAATAATGTGACACAGAGAAGACTGAAATATTCAGTGCTCTTTTTTGCCTAACGAAGCTACAAAATATCTTAGAGTCTGATATGCAAAGCACTTTACAAAAGTCCAAGATGAACAGACCAGAAAAGGGAAGGTATGGGTTAAACAATATTAAGAAATGCCAGTTTCCAATCCTGCTGACTTAAACATGTAGTTCAGAAAGCAGTGGATAAAGCCTGCCTCCCTGTAGCCTTGTGTCTCCTGTTTGCATTAGCCCAGAGCAAAAAGTCTGACTGAAATTTATGGCTGGAATATTCATAACATTCTTCTGTGACTTTTCCAATGCCTGATATCAGGGTTTCATTTACACTGAGTTCCTTGTTGCCATGGAAGACTCTCTATTTATCTGCTCATTTTCACAAGATCTACAGAAAAGTGGTACCTTTGAGACCACCCCTACCCAGTCCAGTTCAGACGGAGAGTGAACAGCAAGTTCAAAAGGCATGGTGTGGTCTGACTGGTCATATGTGTGATCATATAAACTGTGTTTCCACAGGAAAATGTGCTAAAAATTACCTCTGAGCACTTAAAAGATAAAATAATCTCTGCATGATGATGCCGGGGAAAGGGAGGTTGTGGTGGCTTTTTTTGTTTTGGTTTGGGGTTTTTGAGAATTCATGAAGTGCAAGGGAGGTCCTAGAAGACTAGAAAGGATGAAAATACTGCCTGTCTTAGGAAATAAAGTTCAATTGCCCTACCTTTCATAACTAATTTCATCCATCTCTGGGGGATACTATCCTCGGTTATTGGGCAGTTAGTGTATAGGCATGAAGATAACAGTATGATAGAAAACAGTTAATTAGTAAGATTTTAAAATGTAATCTTAGAGTCATTATTGTGTCAAACCTCTCCAATTTCCTTCCTAGAAAGGGCAGCAGGCCTATTGAATAAGAAGGAAGCAGTAAATGTGATATCTGTACTTCAACAAAGCTTTTAGTTGTGTCCTCGTTAATTTTACCTGCAACACAAAAAATGGTGTAGACAAAATCAAGTAACAGTTGACACACAAGTCGTTAGGTATTTATCTCAAACTATATTTGTCAACAGTTTCCTGACAGAGTAGGGTGGCACTGCAGTAACATCCTTCAGGGATTTCTCCTCCACCCTATTCTATTCAATTTTTCATCGAACTGCTTGGATAATAAAACAAGGACTAAACTTGTAAAATTTGCAAAAAATCTGGAAGAGGGTTACAAATGCATAGGAAAGCAGATCAGAATCCAAACCATTTAGCTCATGTGAGAAAATGTATAACTGCAACAAGCTCATACTAGACAGAGAGAAATTAAATACTACCCATGACAAAAATAAACCAGAGTATATTAATATAACCTGCTGATGCTTTAACAAGGCAACAGGATTGCAAAGAAGGATAGGAAGGTTCAAGTGGATTTCAAACTAAATATGAGTCAACAACATGATGATGTTGCAGAAAGGCATTTTGCATTCCAGGATGTATTAGGAAGTGTGTAGTATGTGAGATGCAGGACTTAATTACTTTGCAATCTTCAGTGGTGCTGAGGCCTCAGCTGGAGCATTCTGTGCAATTTTGGGCAATGCACTCCAAGAACAGTTTCAACAATTTGGATGGAGTTGAAATGAAATCAACAAGAATGGTAAATTATTTTGAAAATATGACTTACAAAGAAAGATTGAAGGAATGGGGCTTGGCTTCCTCAGAAAAAGAAGACTGGAGGCAGAATGCATATTTTAAGAGGTAGTATACAGAAAGTCACGGTCAACAGATCTTTGTACCCACCTGAATTATAACAATTATGCAGCAGAGTACATATAAAAAATGAAACAACAACAAAAAAATCCTTTCAACCTAAAGTCTAGATTAGATGGAATAGGTTTATGAAGTTGTGGAATCCCCTTCATTTGTGGTTTTGAAGAGCAGCCTATACAAACATCTGTCAGGGATGACCTAGTTACCCATTTCCTGCCACAACAGGGATGGACTGGACTGGACCTCCTTTTTTTTTTTTTTTTTTTTTCCCCTTGTAATGATTTCACTACTGGAGAACCTGTTTCATTTAACTTAGTTGCTATAGATTAGGCAATAAAACTGTTGTGGTGAACCAAGGCCTTAGTAAAATACAACAAACCTCCACGTAAAATAAAAAATAATTATGAAAATGAAAAATAAAGAAAACTAACTTTAGCAATTTTTAAACATAAATGTGTCAAAAATATTCTTTATTTATTACTTTATTTCTTAAAATACAGTTCTATTGTCCAAAACATACACTTTACAACCATTAAGAAGTCAAATTGAGATTTTGAATTCTTTTAAAATAACCAGGACAGTAAAAGGTATTTTGATGTTCAGCCTTAATTTTAATCTGGCTTTATTTAAAGAGAGGAAATATCAATGATTTTCACCAAGAAAGAGAAGTGATACATGAAATACAGAAAAACAACTCACCGAGAAACTGTGAATGAAGCTCTGTCAGCACCTCAGGGATATGATGGTATCATAAATGTAAACTGCACAAGAGCTTTTCTCCTGTGCTGAAGATGCTGTCATCAGAAGCCTGTGTTTATCCAGGGCAGCCTCAGGTATCACTGTTACCGGTACTTAGATAATATCACACGCACAGAGGCACAAAGCGTCAAGCGATAGTTACAGTTGATCTGGTGACACTTTCATTCTGAGAGCTAATGGAATCCCTTTTAAAGAAACCAAAATGTCATTTATGATGATGTCTTCATGACTGATGAACTTTTAGATGATTTCTAAGAGTTATTTTTTAAAAATACATATTTCTTTCTTCATAACTACCAAGAAGGCCTCTTCCAATTTTCTAAGCATGAAAAAAATTCTGTTCCAGAACAATATTTTGAAGTATTTATTTAAAATTGTTTTCCTAGAACTCTAAAATGGCTATGTTTTCAGTCCCAGCTTGTAGTTTACAAAACATACACAGCATGAGAGGGTTTTCATGTGTTCTAACCCACTAATTAAGAAAAGAATCCAACTCCTACTACTGGCCTACTGGCCATCAGTGGGATGAAAGGAAACAAGTTGGTGGAAATCTGGTTCAAAATATGGGATGTGTGGCCAAAGGCTACAGCATGTTCTATATTACCAAGATCCTCATCAACCTTAACAAAATAGTGTGAATTATTAGAACTACACTATGATAATTTATCCAAGGTCAACGTAATTCTTGTGTTTGGCTCTCCCATTTCCGTAGACAGGCATGTTTAATTCTGTGTGTGTTTCCCAGACACTGCCAGGTGAAAAGGACCTGAGAAGAAATTCACTGAAGTAGCAAGACAAGAAAGCAAAATGCCATTGCTTCACTTGGTGTATGACATTCATAAGGCAACTGAGGAGATGAGCTTTAATTTCCAATCCTAACAAACAATTGCAGGCTGGATTTTTACAATGCAAAAATGTGACATACCAATGTCATTTTCATTTTCTGGATTGGATTTTTGATTGTCCTGCATGCCAAAATGTAGGGTTTTCTTCCCCTTCTCAACCTTGTTTAAAGCACAGATATGAACTCTAGATATGTAGATACATGATGTAGGAATTAGCATAACTGTTTGGGAAATACTGAGAAGAAAGTACAATAGTTGTGCCTGTAAAAGTAAGTTTTTATGCATGTAAAAAACCAAATGTACACAAACAGCTGTGCAGTTTCTACCTACAAAGTGAAAGTCTGTGCCTATAAATATATGTTTCTGTGGCTGCAATGCATGTAGAATTGCTTCTTTTTAAACCAGCTCAAATTGAAATTCAATTTTAGGCCTTCCCATTTTTCCACCCTCTGGTATAATACTGCACATAGAATAAATGGCATCATAAGGGAATTTGTTTGTATCTCATCTCTTTTTTTTTCACCAAATTGTATTCCCAGACTGTTCCCAGCAGCTGTTCATCTAATTCCTCAGCAAGAACCATATTCGACAAGATTATACTGCTTTCATTAGTCCCATTTGGAGAAGCAGAGGAAGAGTAGAAAAGTAGGAGAGCTAAGAATGCAATAAGTGAGCATATAGGAAAACACGAAATTCCCAGAGTCCTGCAACTCAGTTAAGCCTTAGTTATAGGCAAAACACCACAAACTGCCCTTTGATGTGTTAATTGAAATTTAGCTTTCCACACAGTACCATTTTCTTCTCAACACAAGGGATACTAGCTGCTCTCGAGAAAGAAAAAAATTAAATGCCTGTCATATAGTTTTTCCTTGCTTACTTTAAGAACAAAGGGTTAAGACAGGCATTGAAAAAGTGTCCAGGAGATTAGATAAATAAATAAAAATGCTCATGTGTGTGTATATGTGTGCATGATGATAAGACAATTCCTATACATCTTTCCTTCTCCCCTTGCTGCAACACAGACAAAAGACAGTGTCAAGCATGTTAGGCCTCCTCCCTCTCTCTTCTGCTACAGCTTTCAGTAGGCACAATGCTTATTAGTACCACAACAAGCAGAGGTTTTGTAGTTCAAATGAATCACATCTTCTAGGGTGTAATCAATGGCTAAATCAAAAAAAAAAAAAGAAAAGGTCATAAGTTAAGGACTCAAACTGCAAACCAACCCAGAAAGGCACAGCAGATGTTAAACATGCCACAATATGTAGAGATGACATTGACTCTTATCTGCATCTAATCAAAGAAGCTCAGAGATCAAACCAGACACATTCATCTCTTGCTTGTAATTTGCTGTATGGCAGTCCAGCAGTGTTTCACACCAGTATTAAGAATCACAAAAAATACAGGTGGAAAAAAATTCTGCATGTCCTTCAGATAATGCAGGATTTTTCATTTTGTATTTTTCTCTTTTTGGGTCAGTATCAAGCACTGGAGATTTTTAGTGGTGGATCTGCAGCCCAGTAGCTCTCAGTATGCTGGAGTATTCTTCATTATGGTCTGACAGTGTTAGCTTTGCTGATTTTTCTAGAAGGCAGAAAAGGGTTTTTCACTGCACCTCATTAGCCTTCTAATTCTCCAGTAAATACTAAGAGGGTTGGATTCATCATTCTTGCCAATTTTAGTAGGAAGCAGTTTCTCTCCACTAATAATAAATATTTATATTTGCAGAGTTATTTTCTCTGTTATGTTACATCTTGACCCATAGCTGTTCTTTGCAGAAACAATCCATATTTGTTGCATATTTGTAAAAGTTGGTATCAGACTGCAGATACTGTAGCATATTTTGAGGATGTCCTGTTGCTGTCTGCAAAGATGTGCAATTTATGTCCTCCATTATGACCTTATTTTGAGATATCTTATATTTCCCATCTATGTTATATTTCAATCCCCCTTTTTTAGATTGTCTCCTATTTGTTGGCCCTATGCTGGTAATGAAGTGTCTCTAACTGAATGCCTTCAGTCTGGTCTGACAGATGTATGCCAGGATGAATCTAGTGTCATAGTTCATATATTAGAGAAAAAAAAATCAAAACTGCATCCTCTGCAGCATTGATTAAGGGACAGCTTGAATCCCTAAGGCATTTCAGGGCATCCTGCTACAGATATTCCCTGTCAAAATAGGAAAATTTAATCTATTGCACATAGTATAAAAAGCCAAGTACTGGAAATATTCAGCACATAGCCTGAAACACACTAGCATGAAATGAGGCAATGAAGTGGTCTCACTGTGCCAAGCTGAATACATCAGGATGTTGACATCTAATACCACAATGCAGAACTTTGCCCAGTCTTGACTACTTTCAGATTGTAGGAGGACTTTGTCACCTCACCCTACAAATTCTATTTCATTCTGATTTGATATACATAATTGTTTTTCACTTTATTTTTGAAAAGTATTCAAATAAATCCTTTTCTTACCTTCTCAAGTTCTCGCTACCATGTACACATACTGCTTCAAGAGTTTTCCCATTTGCAATCAAGAAATTTCAAGTTTCTCAGGGAGGATCACTGCAAAAAATTCCTGGGCCATCTTTAGTATCTTTAGTCTTGTTTTGCCTTTTATAGTGACAGAAAAATTCCCTAACACAGACGACAGCCACTGCTGAGTTTAAAGCTACAAGGCACCACTTGATCCGAGAGTCAGCTGATTTCAAGTGTGCAATCAAATACAGGCAGGGAAAAACTGACTGGTCTCAGAGCCTCCTTAATTTGGAAGAGGATATTACACACTGCCCTGAAGCACCCATTATGGCTCTATTCCTGCGTGTATCTATGAGCTCAGCAGAAGGTGATCTCCACTGCTCTGGCAGGAGGCACCCAGACACTATTCAGAGAAAGAACAAGTGTGTCCATGTCATTAATTGAGCTGAGAGAAGCAATCAGAAGTACAAAGTGGAGATCTCAATTCTTAGGGAGAGGCTGAATTAAATTTCCGAATACTCTAATAAGTATCTGGGGAGCTGCAGGAAACTATTATGCAATATAATTTTATCTACAGGATTCATTCTCATGCAAACACATCAAAGAGTTATTTTCTTAGCTGACATCATAACAGCCCTATCAAAAAGAGCATGTTAGCTCTGCCTGAAAGATATGAAGGAACAGTCTTCAATCCATGACTTGTAGCCAATGTACTGGCCAAAGACCCTGTGCAGTGTTGCTGATAGCCAAGCACACTATCTCATACCCACTGAGCTGTGGGGCAGTGAAGACTGGGATCCCAATCACGAGTCATTTTCCTTCTTTCATGACGTGCACAATACCTCCCAGAAACGTGTGTATGAGTATATCTGCTTTACAAAAGGCAAGACCTGATGATAGGAAGGTAATACAGAACTAGACAGAACCAAAAAAAGAGAGCTGAAAAATTAAACAGTGCCTTGGAGGGCTTCAAAACTTAGTTAGTTATAAACAGTGTTATTTATTAATAAAAATCTAAGAAGCTTTACCACATCTGACATTCTTTAAAGAGTTTAAAAAAATACTAACCACAGTTCCACAAAGAACTCCAATTCACCTTGAGTCTACTTCATTCAGATTTGAAGAAAATAATCTTATACAAACCCAAAAAGCTGGTGACTAACATTAATACACTGATCATCAGGATGCTCACAGCAGCTGTTATTGGCTATGGATGTAATTCAGTGTTTCCTCTACCCGTCCTATTGCACTGATGATGTGCTGGCAGAAGCTGTATTTTATACTTTAGCTTTCCTAGAAAAGCACAGCTGCACCTTAGGACTAAAACTGTGATCATCCTGAAGTCAGTAGCAAAGCTCTTGTTAGAATCATAGACCTTTTTAAGATCATCAATTCCAACTATTAACCTAGCATTACAAATAGGGCTAGAATTTCACAGTAGGAGTTATTGTATGGAGAGATATCTTATTCCTTTATTTCTTATCTCTCTAGGGAAAACTTATTTTCACTTTTGCAAAATCTTAATATAAAACTCAATACCAACACATAAAAACCTTGACCACTAAAAGGCAATGCATCTCATCTTCTGCCTTCCAAAGATACATTCACCATTCACATTCAGCTGTCATAGAAACAATGGTGAAAGTAACGCCTGTCTCAGATGAAGGGATTCAGTCAAGGTTCAAGGATCCTAGGGAAGCAAAGAGAACATACTATGCTATCAGATTACTTGTAATTCATGTACTTAATAAAGCTCACAGGCCTCAGGAACAGCCAAAATATTTGTTTCATTGCCAAAAAACTTAACCTTAAACCACTAATATCAGTCATAAGACTCATATGCATAACTTTGTACACAATTTGCATTTTTTCCCACAGAAAGTCCTACCCAATTTTCCTATCAGACAATTCCATTTCAGGTAGTAAGGGTTAGTGCCTAGTAACACACAGGGCTCTTTTAGCTGCTTGCATGCTAACAACCAGTATAATTGTGCCTAGCTTTTTATTTTAAATGGAGACTACCTGCTTCCCATAATAATGGTCCTTCGTTAGAGGACCTATTCCATCATGATTTATATGATACCTATGTAAGTTCCCAATGGGAGTTGTACTTTGAATAATAAATGTAACTTCTTTGTTCCATACAGATTTTGTGCCAGTTCTATCTCTTTTTCACTTATTCTAGTCACTATTTTGATCTTCTTTTTGATTATAGGACCACAGTACACTCATAAATTCATATGCCAAGTTATTAAAAAGTAAAAAAAAAAAAATCCAAAGAAGTTGTGAAATACCCTGTAAAACTTGCTCCAAATTAAGTTTTTAGACCCTCAAGGGTAAAGGATAATCCACGGTCAACTGCACATACTCATTTATTTACAATACACAGAGAGACAAACAAAATAGCAGCAAGATATTTCTACACATTAGTTTATTTTTTCCATTCTATGTTTTTATGTATTTCTATATTGTTTCCTGACCATGCCTCAGGCAAGCATAAAGCAACACAACTGCTGTCTCTGCGATTCTGTCTATGTAGAGCTGGGAAGGAGCGAGTCAACCTGCTTTGTTTTGGAATTTTTATTTTGTTTTACACACACGTGCACACAAACATGGGTACTTATGTTCCTTATCTCTAGTTTCTGAGACAGAGCTGAACTGTTTCCAGAGAAAACTCTGTTCTCACATGGTCAAGCTTTGCTATTACTCTGGAAAGATCCATCGTTTTAAATGACCTATGTTTCATTTCTGAGCTTTAGTAGATCCCTTAAATACTCCAAATCTTGTTCTTGGAGTGCCTAAAGAAAATAGAGCAGAATACTGGTATCAATTTATTATTCTTTGAAGAGGTAGAGCAAAGAACAGCAGTCAGATAGGCTGTATCCTCCACCTCTGAGAATGCACAGCATCATTCTGTGGTACCTGCAAGTCTTAGGTACCAAAGTTACTGCTATGTGTGTTATTGTATCACTCTCGCTCTAACCCAAACATGAACTAACAATGAATGAGATGAGATGATTATTCACCAGGATGGGACAATTTCTTACACAACTTTATAACCAATTACAGTTAGGCAGCAGTACTGAATTCGAGGATTGCAGCCACACTTTTTTTGCTGATGTGACAGCTACAAAACATCCAGGTTGTTTGGGAAGGTTTTGTTTTATACATGGCTTTAGTGGACCTTTCCTATGGTGGTCATCTTACCATGGCTCTTGTTATTTGGTCCTGATGCTTAGTTATGGTAAACTGTTTACAGGATAGCTTCTTGGCATGGGATTCAACAATACGAAAGCAAAGACTACATAGAGATTTTTTTGGGGAAAAGATATGATTCCTCTTTTACAGAAGCTTTCAATTTCTAGTACTGTCTAGCCCTTCTACCTTCATGTGGGAAAGGGTAAGGAATGCTGTAGAGCAGTGAAAACAAACCAACCCACCTGGGGACCAGAGGAATAATTGAAGCTAGCACACATTCAGAATAACTCAGGAGATCCCAGACTCTGGCTCAGAAGAGCAATTGCACAGCTATTGCAAAGTCCCCCTAAAGAGAGTGTGAGTGCAGGGTTCACAAAGACATTAGCTGTCTCCTGCTTTTCCAGATCAGAACCAAACCATCATCCTCCCTTAATACAGACAAGTAGTTACTGCTATGAATAAACTCAAAAATGCTACTTACAATCTGATGTGTCTAATTCTGGGTATATTAATGTAGGATATTAAATCCTCAATTTCTGTTAGTTATTTGGGTGTTTTTCCACAAAGCACTTCTCAGTGTAATTCAGAAACCAGATTAATGTCTGATTTCATTTTGATTTTGCTTTTGCACAAATATCATAAACAAATCCCAAAACATTACAGGCTTCAGGCACCTTGTCAAATACTACCTTGCCCATAAAGACTCTGTACAAGATACCTGAGAGAGAACTCACAAAAAAGCTGAAACAGAAAGGGACTGAAATAGGTGTATTATATAGAGGTCCCACATACACAGCAGGATTTCTCATATACTTCTGATACAGTGTTTTGTGTAATCCCCAAGGCAAAACTTCTCACGACCACTATCTGCAGGAAGAATTTACTGTCAACATAGAGTGTACGCTAAAGGAACAAAATGAGCTCAGTCCACATTCACACCAACCCCACAGCTCCTTAAGACACTCATTTTCAAAGTGGTTTTTTGGTTGGTTTTTTTTTTTCAGTAAAATGAGCATTGTTTCAAGTTCCTTTATGGCAGGTCAGTAGAATCAAAATGAAGGCAGGCTTGCTTACCACTCAAAGCACTTGCCTTCTTTTGAATTTCTCATGGGAATGAAAAGTATATTCAGCTTTTCTTCCTTCAGCTCCACACTCTACCCTTGTAGAAGATTACTGAAACATGAACTTGAGAAGGCTGTTTCAAGCAGAAGCATGTTCCTGTGTAAGGGAATGATGTTAATTCCTGTCACTCTGAACATCCAAGTGAGATTGTTGTTAAAGCTGCTTCTAAAGGACCAAGGGAATATGTGCCATTCAGTTCAACGACTTTCATCACCTCTATTAGACTAAACATAAATGTAATATTGCCAAGCCAGATTCCAAAGGTTAGTCTTTCATTTAGGAAAAATACTGGAGATGCAAAAGATGTGTAGCATTTACAGGAATCTAACACGGATTCAATAAACCAATTGAACACGAAAGGAACATCCTTTCTAAATGCAAATTATTCAGGTGCAGTTTGAGTTCCTTAAAGGTTACTCTTCATTCTCTCTCCCTGTCTAATAAATGACAATACAGAAGAGCTTAGTTTCCTCTTCAAACTTCTTCGTATTAAGTCATTCTGCTGCTTCTATTACAGGCCTTTTCTGTATGAAGCAGATATAGACTCTGGACTGCTCAACACCAACATTACCATTTTACTAAAGCACTTCTGAGAAGAACTTAAAAACTAATTTAAAAACCAAGTCTAACAACACAGTAATGTACAGATATACTCAAGCTGCAACATTTTTTCTTTCCCTTTCATTTTGCCAAAAATTCTACATTTTCTTGTATGGAAGAGTAAAGTCACAAATATCAAGACGGTCCCAGAAAATGCAGCCCAACAACTCTTGATACTACACTCGTCAAAGTGTCAACAGATCTACCTGAACAGCTATGCACAGTAGCTCTAGATCTGAATATGAAATTTCTTTATGATGAGATCTTGTCTTTCGTGAAGCCTGTGGCCAATCTTTTACTTCGTTCCTGTGGCTCAGAACAATATCTGTTAACCAATTTTGAGGCAGGGTCTTAGGAACCACATGAAAGAAAACATGTTATATTATATATTATATTATATTATGTCATATTAGAGATGGTCTCTCCAAGAAGAACTATATTTGTGCACAAATTAAATGTTGCATAACAATAGCCACTGACTAGGAAGCTGCTGTGGGCCCTCTGTGGCACTGCACATTCATTAGAGAAATTTGCAAGTATATTTTATACACAACATTTGCCTTTTCTATGGAAATTTCATTTCCTCACAACTCACATAGCAGCATTGTCAGAATTAACAGGGATGAGTGAAATTTCAGGGCCTTCATATGAAGAAAAAGACTGGTTGAAAATGGCATTAATTTCCCCAAGAAAATAAAAAGTGAATGGTACTACTGGGAACTACTGCTACCTCACTGGGTTTAGCTCACTGTTAAAGACAGAGGGGAGTCACTTCCACTGAAGAAAGAAGCACTAGCTGTTTTTTGGTACAGGAAATGTTTTGCATTTTCCATGTTTCCTTTCACATAAGATTCAAATGAGACACAGCAACTGGTCACGTGATGTTAAGAGTTTAAGCTGAAATTGTGGCTGTACTTTACACAGTCAATAATTCAGTTCATATTTCTGTCTCAGCTGTATTCTGTATTTCTTTAATTGCTGCAAGGTCTCATCCATTATATATTAATGGTACCATGCATGAAATAACTAGTCTTTTTAATGTTGTAGATAGAAAATAGACAAATAACAGTAAGAAATTCAATTAAGAAGAAGAGACACATTCTGGTTTTGATTCTGTGCAAAGATAGCACCCAAAATTAAGAGAATGACAATAAAGACTGGTAATAAAGTTCCAAATGAATACCTTAGCATACCATGCATAACTGAAAGAAGGATTCAGTCCTATCCAGAGAACATGCTAGAAAGTCCTGATAAAATGGACTTTCATTTACTGATAATAAACATTTACTGATTTTTCTCCTAGTGGAATAAACTGTGACTTTCTTGCTTTTTTTATATCTATCATAGGCAGCAGAAGCACACTTGGAGGTCATGTATTTCGCTTTTGTCTTCTGGAGCCCAGAGACCTTGACTCCACCTACTGCTGCTGAGGAACTCTGTGAGAGCAGCAGACAAGATGTCTACAGCCAAGGGCAGACCTTTTAAGACAAGTGTCAGAGCAGTCCTCCACCCTAGTTTAATTAGAAAAAGATTTTTCTCATCATGCTGCTGCAATACTGTCAAGAAACTCCATTTTGTTGTAAAATTATGTCTTAAGTCTTGTTGGAAGGAAACCAATAAAATTATTTTTGATCTAGAAGCAAATAAAAAACAATCTTTTCAAAATTTAACATGAGCTGCTAACTTGTGGTTTTATAACTCACGCATGGCTGACTAACTTTTAAAACCTCAAACTTTGAATGTTTTAAGTTCTCATAGAAAATGAGGGCAGAGTCTCATTTTGAAGCTCACATCTTATAGTAAGGTAATGATTTGGTTTTTTGACTGATGAATCAGCTGCACATGAACTGCCACTGCACAAAAGCACTGCATGTTGGATGCCATGGCTAGAGCTTTGTCGCTTAACACAGCCACAGGTTTTTTGCACCCTATTAAGAGTTCTGTTCCCAGCTATTTCAGTTACAAAAACAGCTCTCAAAACATACTGTACATACTCAGGATGAAAATTTGACACAAAATTTCAAGAAAACCCCCTATTTTTCCTCAAAACAGTCTTTCCTCTGCTACCATCCACTTACTAGATATTCTTTCCTTAATACAGAGTCTCCAAGAGTTTTGCCTGCTTGCACTGTAAGCTATGTAAATAATGAAGCATTTTCTTCACTCAAAGCAGAGCCAGGCACTGGTACCCCTGGGTCGTACCTGGCCTGCCAGAACAATACCTGTTGGACCTCACAGAGTGCTGAAGGACTCAGTTTCCTGGAAGACACTGGTAGCTGGGTGGGGAGATGGCACCTGAGCTGCACGTGCTCTGCAGCAGCAGATCCAGAGAGAACCAGGGGTGAGTCACAGCACCTCGGTGGCACCAGCAGCTGCAGTCGCTGGGCCTGCCCCGGCAGAGCCACGACACCACAGTCAGCAATGCACGTGTTTAGCCAAACTGACACAACTGTTGACCAGGCAGGATTTCTCCCTTCCTGCCCCACATTTTCGGGTGGCAAAGCACTCACTAAGCATTTCTTCAGCTGGAATCTATGCAGAAGGCACAGAAATGCTGTCAAAATAAAACACTGAATCACCCATGTAAAACCTTGCTTTTTTAAGAAGGAACTCCTACTGTGCAACACTGGATTACAAAAATTCATCTACAGTGAAAGTGAAAACGTGTTTTTAGATTCTGATTCTCTGTCAAAGCACTTTGAATATCAAAGGTCCTATTGTAGCAAAGTTCCCAAACAAACAAACAAACAAACAAGTAAAGCATGCAGAAGTTCATCAGAAATTAAAAAACCACCCCACCAACCCACTGAATGTTGGTATATTATATCAACTGCAAAGGTAATGTTAGTATAAATCTCTGATAATATTTATGCAGCAA